TAATACTAGAATATAAAGTCAATACCTTTACCTACTACATGGTGGTACATTTAATAATTACCTGAATGGATAGACATTTAACTTGATAATTCGAATAAATACGTTGAGTTCAGTTTAGAAGATGCTGGAAATGGTTGCCTTGAACTTGTTGACACAATAACAGCCCGTCCGTAATTTCGCGTCGAACACTTTTAAACATAGTAACATCGATATTTCTACAAATATTTGTTATTCTCAGCCGTATATCCAAAATTGAAGAAGGTTCGGTTTCGTACACCTTTTGCTTCAAATAGCGCCATTAAAAAAAGCCTAAAGGTGTCAAATCTGGCGAGCGAGCTGGCCATTCCACAGGACCTCGACGACCAATCCAACGACCGGGGAAATTATTATCTAAATAATTCCTATCTTGTCTGGAGTAGTGAGGTGGAATACAATATCAGTATCGAATTCATTACGAGTAGGATTCGCTTCGACGGTTTCGGTGATTAGAGGGTCAATAGTACTTTCCAGCATATCCAAATATAGTTCCCCGGTTAAAGTTTGTTCGATGAATAGAGGCCCCACAATATGATTTCCCAATATCCCAGCCCAATCATTATTTTTTTGTGGATATTGAGTGTGAGTTTTCCGGAAGACGTGAGGATTGGTGTAACTCCAATAACGACAACTGTCTATGTACATTACCGTTGAGAAAAAATGTACATTTATCACTAAAAAAGTATTTTGGATATAGGCAGGATGCCGTGCAATGGTTTCCGTCATAGTTTGGCAGAATTCTGTTCTTCGATCAGGGTCATCTTCAATTAGCAGATGTACCATTTGAATTGTGTATGGGTGATACTTATTCTTTTTCAAAAGTCTCCATACAGTAGAAGGACAAACCTGACATACATTCGCGATGAAGGAAGTAGACTTTTGGGGATTTACTGTGATCTCACCAGTTATTTGAACTTGCTTTTTTTCCGGGTTGGTCGGATGACCTGGCGGCTTTTTGTTGTCTACACTATCAGTAGCTGTAAATTTAGATACAAGTTCCCTTAAATATTTTCTACAGATAGGACGATCCGGGAAACGATCATTAAACATCATTTCGTTCTCGTGAAAGTTACGCGTCGCACCATAAATAAAAATCGCTTCGATTTTTCTTCCAAAGGACGAGAATTGACCATTTTAAAAATAGTTCAAACAGTACCTAGCACTAAAAGTGAAAACTAAATAAGAATATTTTAACTATACAATGATGTTTGTTTTTGTACTGATATTCTTGCCACTGTCAACAAAAAATAACAAAACAAGTTTTTATCGCTGTTGCTCTGGATACGGCAGAGAATTAAAATTATTTTAAGAGATATACATGTTAGTGGGTTTGTTTTCAAGTAATTATTGAATGTACCACCATTTTGTAGTAGGTAAAGGTATTGACTTTATATTCTGGGGTTATAAAGTAGATACTCGTCAGGAGCTTCAAAACGATGTGCCACTACACCCCCGTTTTCATATAATTTTTTTTCCAAGATGGCGCCCAGCGTCAATTTTACTCTAAAATATGGTATCCACGCATCAATTTCTTTACCTCAAGTTTTAATTTTTTGAATTGATCTGTTCAAAAAATCAAAAGGGAGGTGGACATTGAAGAAAGGCACTGTATATATATATATATATATACCACTCCATTTATACAAGATGTTCCTGGAAAATGTCTGGAATGTTAACATAATATGCCGCATGCTTTATTTCTATCAAGAAGATCTATTTATCTAATGATAATAGTTTTATGGATTCATCAACGCCTGCCGAATTTTTCAGTTTCTGCCATTTAATTAACTTCATCTGCAGTTAATGGGAAGATAGACGTAGACTGGTTATTCCTATCTTACAATCAAGATTTCTCTGAACTTCCTCTGATATACAAAAATTGGAGTTGTTTACGTTCATGATGACAGCAACACAGATATAGTCCTTTCACTAAAACAAAGCAGTTACGTCATACTTAGTAAATTTGAATGCCAACCTTAATGCAAAATAAATCCTAAATCGGTACGTATAGTTTGAATTTACCATTTACATTTATGTTGGTAACAGTTTTCTGTGCTGTGACATTGTCTCAAAGCTTGCCAGGTAATTACGCCAACGGCTGTTGCTTATTTGTGGTTTATTTCCTAGGATCTAGTAGTCTTAATGTGGCAACCATATGCGTTACTGTAATTATTTGACGTTGTGACGCAACTGCTTTGATTCAGTGAATATGCTGTAGTTAGAAAGTCATGTTGAGATTGAGTTTGTCGTAATTAAAATTTCTTTATATAATCTGAATAATATTTATTAAATAAGGCGTAAAGTCCCTAAATATCCTCAAAATCAGTGGGTATGACTGAACTTTAAAACTGATAATATCTTGGCAAAGTAATAAAGGTAAAAGTTGCTGTCCTGGGTTATTTGTCAGATAAAATTGATATATTTACCTTCAGCTGTTCAACCTAGTATTCCTGGGCTACAGCGGACGAGCATAAGGCCGATCCTTGTCTATAAGGCCTTTTATCTCACCGACAATGTGAGTGTAATTTTTTCTCCTTCGGTTGCTGTCCAGGAATTTTTTTATTGAATGGACACCAGCAATGAAACGGTGGTTTTTGGCTGTTGCGGGAGGTCTAACCAGTCTACACTAATTTGGATGATGAATGAGGTTCTGATGGGTGTGAGAAATATTAGCGATGTGGGATTCTGAATGTTTTTTTATGTCGAATGCGAGCTGGAGTGATTAATTTGCTATAGATTCGTCAAGATCTACTGGTATTATTCATATACAGGTTTTTTGCTCGCCATAAACAGTTGCTCATTTGGAATACATCAAACAAAACAGCTTTGTAAAGTTTCAAAAAATCCCCATTGTTCCCTACAAACGATATCTGCTTACGTAGTTAGTGAATTATACAAAACAGGTCAAATTAGAAAGCCAAAATTCCGAGTAATAAAATGGATGAACAAATAATACAGGGTGGCCCGTCCATGTGTGGACGGAATATTACCCATCAACAAGTACATTCTGGGAAAATCTATTTATGGGATTTTATACAAGACATTTGTGGGCACATTTCTAAAATATTGGTCACTATACAGGGTTTCGACCTACATATCAAAGTTGTGATTTTTTAAATAGAATGCCTCAAATTTTATTGCATATTTGGATAAACCAACTCAAAAGAAGAAAATTGATATAACATACTATGGGGTTTTGCTAATTAGCTACTGAGATATAAGGTGTTTTGTGTAGAAACACCCCCCACTTCGGCAACCCCTCAGTCCACCATTATGAAATTAGGAGTGCGGAATTTTGTACCAAAAAAAACTTACACACCTTAGCTTTTATCTTATTTGTTACTTTTTCGAATTTTGATTTTTGGTCATACAGGATGGTCATAAACGCAAATTGCAGTTTTTCTCAAAAATTTCAAATGCATCACCCTGTATATTTGTGCCAGTTTGGACTCATTTTTTTAAGCTTTTTTTGATAATAGACACATTAGGGTTTTTACGGCTATTTTTTCGGTTATTAGCACGTCTTTTATGGAACGGCTCAATTTCCTAAAATATCGCATCATCCTTGGAAACAAATAAATTGTTGATTAGTTACAAACTGTCAAAATTAGCTTTGTGAGCATTATTTTCAAAAACGTTCTAAAGAAGAAATGGTGAATATGATGTTCGTTTTGGGCGAATCCCAATGAAATAGTTTCCTAGCATCTCGCATTATATCTTGGCCTACATCCTGACCTCCTAGATCACCAGATATGACACCCATAGACTTCTTTCTATGGGCCTACGTTAAGCAAGAGGTTTATAGATATCCACCATCTACCCCGGAAAATATGGAGGAAAGGATTAAGTATGCTTTTCTGAACATAAGGGAAAACATGCTGAGGGATGTGCAACTGTCATTCTGTCATTTATCCAAAGACTACGGCTGTGTATTCAACATGGTTCAGATATTTTTGAGCAGTTTTTGTAGATTAGGTCTTGAGTACTGATAGTTGTTTGTTTATGTTGTTGTTATAGTTGTCTTTCTCCATTACGCTTGAAGCTGAATACTGTTCTAATTGTGATTAGTTTTTACGTCAAATCTGTACTCTTAGTGGCAATATGGAACTAGCCCACTGTTTGTCTTTTGTTTCCATGGATGATGTGATTTTTTCCCTAATTTTGGTGTGTTGTTCTATTAAAAGCTTAATAACTCAAAACCTAGTGATTTTATCTGAATCAAACCTCATACCAAAAATAGCTTATAAAAAATTGAATCCAAGCTGGCACAAATATACAGGGTGATGCATTTGAAATTTTTGAGAAAAAGTACAATTCGCGTTTTTGACCACCCTTTATAAGCAAAAATGAAAATTCGAAAAAGTAACAAATAAGATAAAAGCTGAGGTGTTTAAGTTTTTTTTGATGCAAAATTCAGCACTCCAAATTTCAAAATGGCGGATTGAAGGGTTGCCGAAGTGGACGTTTTTTCTGGACAAAACACCTTACATCTCAGTAGCTTATTACCAAAACCCCATAGTACGTTATATCAATCTTCTTCTTTTGAATTGGTTTAACCAAATATGCAATAAAATATGAGGCATTCCATTTAAAAAATCACAACTTTGATATGTAGGTCAAAATTGGGACACTCTCTATAATTGGCAATATTTTAGAAATGTGCCGTCAAATTACATGTATTTTCTTTTTTTATTGAGAAAACACAAAAGCTGCATCAACCACGCATGGTTATTAGCGGCTGGACGACAAGGTTACAAAGATAGGGTACATATATGTATATATATATGTACCCTATCTTATATATATATATATATATATATATGTACCCTATCTTTGTAATATATATGTAATATATATATATATATATATATATATATATATATATATATATATATATATATATATATATATATATATATATAGTTACATACAATACATAAGACATTAGATTAAATTATAGGTACTGGATTCTTTGAGAAATGGTAGTGTTCGTTCGTAGTACGTGGTGAGGGCTTCCTTTATGGATTCTGGCATGCAAGCATGGTTTCGTGCATCTTGCGTGGCAGTGCACTCTAAGAGTATATGCTTCACGGTAAGTCTGCAGTCTGGGAGTTGGCAGGTTTGGCATGTTGGAGCTTCTTGGTTGCTGAACAGGTATTTATGTGTCACTAGCGTATGACCAATTAGCAAACGGGAGATAATCACTTGGTCGCGTCTTCTTCTGGGCAGACTGAGGTGTTCCGTCACACTTGAAATAGCCTCCCGCAGTTTGGTGGTGCTATTGTTCCATTGGCTTTGCCAAATAGTACAGATGTGTTGTTTTGCGAGGGTCATCAAATCGGTATGTGGCGTGTTTATTATTTCTAGATTGGCGTCGGTCACCGCGGCAGCTGCTGCTCGATCGGCTTTTTCATTTCCGTCTATTCCTACGTGAGACGGTATCCATAGGAATTTCACTGTCTTCATTTTGTTGGTTGATACATTGCTTTATTTCTTTAAGAATAGGGTGTTGCGGGTATAATTGCTTGATTCCTTCCAGTGCACTCATGGAGTCGGACAGAATAAGTATATTCCTTGTTGCGGTTGCCTCTGCGATGCTTAGGGCTAACTTGATAGCAGTTAGCTCTCCGGTAAAGATGCTGCTGTGATAAGGGAGATATGCTGTTTTCTTGTTGTTTTCTTGAATTGCTGCACATCCCACTCCATTTCGCGACTTCGAAGCATCGGTAAAGATGAACATATGGTTTTTGTAGTGTTCAATTACTTCTCTGTATTTATTTTGGATGACTATATGATTGGTTTCTCTTTTGGTGTAACAGTTAAGCGATGTATTAATATCGGTTAGGCGCATTGTCCATGGGGGAGAATATAACGAATATGAGTACGTGTTCTGAAGATTGTTTAGGTTGAAGTCGGTGCGAATAATACGCTCTGATATTGGACAGTCTCTGTAGTTGCTGTATAATCCTCTGGAAGAACACTTGACAGTAATGTGGTGAGCAGGATTGTCTGGTAGGCTTGAAATTTTGGCGGCATAGCGTAGGGCAACGTATTCTCTTCGAAGGGGTAACGGGGGCTCATTGGCTACGACATGGATGCTTTCCACCGGTGAAGTTCTTAGTAAGCCATATGCCAGTCGTATTGCTTTGTGTTGTAAAACGTCAAGTTTTTTTAGCGAATTTTTACTTGCGGTTGTATAGCATATACTGTCATAGTCGATTTTGCTTCTTAATATAGCGCGATATACTCCCATTAGTGATAAGAAGTCACTTCCCCAAAAGGTATTTGCTAAGACTTTAATAAGGTTCAAACGTTTTTGACACGATGATATTAATTTTGTTATATGTAGATCCCACTTCAGTTTCGAATCAAGTGTCATCCCAAGAAAAACTATACTGTCAACTTTCTGAAATCTGGTGCTGTTCAGAGAGAGTACGATATTGTCACTGGTGCGTCTAGATTTGCTAAATATAAGGTATTTGGTCTTATCGCTGGAGAAACGAAAACCTGTTGTAGCAGCCCATCTCTCCATTTTATTGATTGATTGTTGTATGATGCTTTGTCCTGTGGGTAGGTTATTCGTTGGTAAGTATATAACTAAGTCATCTGCGTACGTCAGTGCCTTTACTGGTGTCTTAAATAGTTCAATTAATCCATTGATCGTTATTAAAAAAAGTGTGACGCTTAACACGGATCCCTGTGGTAATCCATTTGCTAATGTTCTTTCGTTGGACATCTTTCCATTGGCTCTCACCCTGGTGCGGTTACTCAGAAAGTTTTGTATGAAACCTAAGAGATGCCCTTTGATTCCCATCTCAATCGCGGATTTTATGATAAGATATCGCCAGGTGGTGTCGTAAGCTTTGTCTATATCGAAGAATACAGCTATAACACTTTGGTTGTTTGCGAATGCCTGCTTGATGGTGGATTCTAGTACTACAGTGTTATCTGTCGTAGACCTGTTGCTTCGGAAACCATTTTGTAAGTTGTTAATTTGTTTGTGTGTTTCTAAAAACCATAACAGGCGTTTATTGAGGATTTTCTCCATCAGCTTGCACATAGAACATGTCAGCGATATCAACCTATACGAAGCAGGGTCATCTTGAGGCTTATTTGGCTTTAGGATGGGGATAGCAATGGCTGTCCTCCAGACATCAGGGAATTGTCGGGACACCAGAATCTTATTGTATATGTCTATCAAGATTGATTTTTCCGTCAATGGGAGGTGTTTCAAGAAAGAGTATTGAATATCGTCAGGACCCGGGGAAGTACTTCTTGATGTTCTTAGTGCTTCTTCCAGTTCTTCTATTGCAATAAGGCTGTTTATTGGACTGTTATCGTTCGGTACGGTGATAGTATTACCTTCAACCTGTGACTTGTACTGGAGAAAACAAGGGCTGTATTTGATTTCGCTAGAGTGTGCTGAGTAGACTTCAGCAAAGATTTCTGGGATAGCTGATTTGTCCAGATACTACTTGGTTATTGTATTTTATAGAGGTTATTTCGTAGCTTATTTTTGATCCACTAATGCTCTTGATTTTATTCCAGGTTTGCGATGCAGGTGTAGACGAGTTAATAGTGGATACATAGATTCGCCAGGATTATTTCTTGCTTTTCTTGATATGATATCTGGCTTTTGCTTTAGCTTGTTTAAATTTTCGCAGATTTTCGGCTGTGTTATGTTTCTTGAGGACATTGCAACAATGTTTGCAGGTGGCTATTGCATTAGAGGCTTGTTGATTCCACCATGGGACTGGTTTCCTGTTACAGGTTTTCGTTTTTTCTACGGCAATGTTAGCGGCATCTTTTATAACGTGAATCAGTCTGTTGATCTCGATATTGATGTCTTCACAGGTGGGAAGTAATGGTAAGCGTTGTTCAACCTGCTGTTGGTATTTATCCCAATCAGCTTTATTCAACTTCCATCTTTGTGTATAGGATAGCGGTCACTATCACAGAGGTCAGTTAGGGGGTTCCAGTGGAGAAAAGGGGCTAAAGAAGAGTCACAGAAAGATAAATCAATGGACGAGAACTTCCCATTGAAAGCATTGAACCTAGTGCTGCGACGATCATTAAGTTGTATGAGACCAATATTGTCAAATATGTTTTCTAGCTCCATGCCGTATCTTTCAGAGAAGTCTGATCCCCAGCATATATTATGACAATTAAAATCTCCTACTATGATTCTGGGCATGGGAATTTGTAGCAGCAAAGACTCTATTGCGTTAAAGTCTATATCTTTTGGGTGTGGTATGTATATATTGCAGATATGTATGGTTGAGTGGTATGTGATCGACACGGCAACAGCTTCCAGATCTTTAGTAATGGGAAGTCTTTTTGCTTGTATAGAGGTTTTGATGAATATTGCTACTCCTCCTGCTGCTCTATCCTGATTTGGTCTATTTTTGTAAAAGCTAGAGTAGTTATTTAGTGTGTGGCTGTGATTATCATTCTTGAGGTGAGTTTCTTGCAGACAGATTACATATGGATTATTTTCACGTATTAGCAAGTTGAGCATTTCTTTATGGGTATAGTACCCGTTCAGGTTCCACTGAATTATGTAGAAACATGAAAATATCTAGTATGTTGAGAAAGGGGATCCCGAAACTTCGACATCGGATGATTCTAGATCCTTTTCTTCATTGTTTTTGGATGATAAGTTTTCTAGATGTTTCGCTAATTTTTTTCTGATTTTTGTAATTTTTATTTTTGTGCTCCTATCCTTTAAATGTGAGTATAGTTCAGCCAAAAATTGGTTCATATCCGGTATGTTATTTGTGTAGTTTCTAAACGTTGCTACTATATCTTTGGATTTATATGTATTTTCCATCATGTCCGCTACCTCTGATACGTTTAGCTGGGATGACGTAAACCGTGAGTTTAGGAATTCCTCGGCGGGTTCTAAGGATTCCTCAGAAACTTTTGATGTTTTGATTCTCTTAGTGGGGGCTTCAGTTAATGTAGGCTGGGTGTTAGTAGATACGGGGGATGTTGAGATTTGTCGTTTAGGTCGAGTTTCTTCTGATACAGAGTTGTCTTGTATGGTTGCAGTCATGTTTAAGCTCAATGTATTAGTTTTGTTATGTACATTAGATGACTCTAATTCCATTCTTGTTTCGGTGTCTTTATTTCTGGATTGTGATTTGGGGCATTTTTCCAATGTATGTCCCGTTTGCTTGCAAAGAGTACAGCTTGGTCCGTCTACGGAGAAAAATATCCTGTATGTCGTTTCCTCAAAGGTTATAGTGGTAGACTCTACGATTTCGCTAACAGGTGGTGCAATATACACTTGTCGATGGAAACTGAGAATGTGATTGTATTCATTTTCCGACATTCCAACTCGGAGGTAAGTTATGCTGGAGAGTAGCTTCAGGCCCATAGTTGTTAGTGAACTTTCAATAATGTTGTTTGGCACAGAGGGGCAGACATTTGAAATAACTAGCCTTTGAGCCGGTGTAACAAGTCGTCTTATTTCGATGTCGTGGTCTTGGATCTTTATGGATTTGTGTTCAGTGATTATTTTGTCCACGCTATCAGTGTTACTCAGATACATACAGATTCAACCGTTAGCAATTCTTGATGCGAACAGTATATTTTTGGGACCTACAATTGAGCCAATTGCAATAATATAATCATGGATTTTTATCCCATCTACTGCTGTTAGGAGAATCGCTTGGTTTTTTTATGGTGTTTTGCTGACTAGCTGCTGTAGGAGTGCACTGGAGTATGATGATAAAGTAGTTGTACTGTTTCTATTATTATCAGGTTGAGTCATGTTTAGATAGTTTTAGTGTGAGACTGGTTGAGAAATTCTGGAGCCGGCCCCGGCGGTACTGCTCGAACTCCGCGTGGATCTAGGTGCAGTACGGCTGACCGTACCGCACCGGTGTTTGTTTAGGTTTAGCGATATCTCTTGCAGTAATGTAAGGACGTCCACTTCTTGCTGGTTTTTGGTGACCGACGTCTTGGTGAGTGTTGGAATGGTGGGTGAACTTTTCAGTGAATAAATCGAACTAATAACTTTCACACATGATATAAACTCGCAGAGTACTATCGATACTACTTTCAAGTTAGACGGTCAGGACATGTTCGACAGAAATAGATTTTTCCCAAATGTATTTGTTTATGAGTAATATTCCGTCCACACATGGATGGGTCACCCTGTACGTTTTAAAGTAAAATAGACAGTTGAAAATGAAAAAGATGTCAGTTGGTCACCAATGAGTGGTCATGTGAAACCTCATCTTGAAACCCCTTATCAGTACTTGATAAACCTACAGTATAAATTTACTAACCTTCAAGATGGCAGACTGGTATGCTGACAATGTTGGGTGTTGTTAACCCCAACGTAAGAAAAACGTATCTTACAAGTTTAGGACGTCCATCTCTGCATGTCTGTATGTATGTCTGTCTGTGACATCGTAGCTCTCCAACAGACTTTTTATACCGAAGCAGCCGCGTAGGCAGAAGCCTAAATAACAGGGCACCGCAGCAGTTATGAGAAGCCGGACCAACGAATTCGAATAGATGGCGTTGCATTGTTTATAGCCAAAATAGCGTAGTTTTAATGCATACTTGACTCAAACTTCTATCAAAATTATAATAGTACTTACCCGTGGAGACATCTACCTTCATTACGATTGTGCCGCTCTTTCCAAATTATGTGAGAAGTATCATGTCTTGAAATCGTCTGACACCACAATTATCTTGTAAACGCTCGCGCTTTTAAAAGATAACACGAAATATACGAATTTAATGACAGAGCCGTCGAAACTTGACTGATGTCAAGTGCATTTTGTTCCTTACTACAGACTATCAGAATTCGGAGGCAAAGAAGTTCTTGTTTGGCTCCCCTTCCTTGTAGTCCAGATTCGTTGGGTCGTACAGGCGGAAGCCGCTCGTTTAACCCTTACTCCTCTCAGACTGGATTTTTAAATTCCATCATAAACTAAATCTATCTATCCCCGTCTGAAGATCCGGTTCGATCTCAAAATTTGCATACTTAGCATGATTTTGTGTACAATTTTGTGGATCTTTGTGTTTGGGCGCCAAGAGAAAATTTGCAACCGCTCGCTCCCAACTTTTGCCGCCAGGTATACTTTCTCAAAATTTATTTCTTGCCGATAATCGGCCCCACTTGAAAAAAATTCCTGCTGGCACCCATGTGAATTATTAAGCATAAAGTATGAGGCTATGGGACAACAGATCTTTCGTCAAAGCTTGCGGCACATGTAGAGAAGCCGTATAATGCGATGTTTAGCCATTGATGTTTATCGGTAATAATATCTTTTTTACCTAATGACTTTTTCGAATACAGAATATTGCACACACAATGGAAAAGTAATCACCTTTGCAAATACCGCACTGTAAGCAAAATCTCATATAATATTAAAATATAACCGTAATTACAGACCGAAACTGTATAGATTAGCCATTTGGAATAGTTGATGCAGGTTAATTACCACGTTGAAATAAAACACGAAACATCAGCAGCAAAAATGTTCGCTGATTTAAATATAGTTACATACATTT